GCATTACTAGTAGGAACAAGAAGCTAGTAGGAACAAGTGCCACGCTACTAGGAACAAGTGGCTTGCCGTCGAATCTTCGCACCTTCGTAGCTGCCTGTGAAGTGTCCCCAGTGGCGCCACGAAAAGGAGACCTTTGGTGGAGGCGAGAAGACCTGCAGCGGAAACGTGTTGCAAATGAATGCTACTACGAGCAAAGGGCATCGCTACCAGGGGCTCCTGGCATCGCTACTAGGGGCTCCTGGCATCCCTACTAGGAGCAAGAACGCTACTAGTAGCAAGGACGCTACGCTATACCAAAAAGAACGTGTTGCGTAGCGTCCTTGCTACTAGTAGCTTCTTGTTACTAGTAGCGATGCCAGGAGCCCCTAGTAGCGATGCCCTTTGCTCCTAGTAGCATTCATTTTAGGCCTTTAAAAGTTGTTCTTCTCCATTACGTCCTTTCTTTGTGCTTCATCCTGCCTCTAGCAGTTCCCATGGAAAAGCCGCGAAGGCAGAGTGAAACTTGTCGTGAGACTGCTCCTGCAGCGCTGCGCAGGAAGCTGTTTCTTGCAAAAATGGATTAACCAAAGAAGGAAATCATAATAAATCAGATTTAGTATGGTTTCCTTCGCTATTAGGTGGAGGCCATCGCTTCTAGGTTGGAGACCATGGCTTCGTATGGTGTCCTTCTTTCATTTAAGCCCGTTATGGAGGGGTAGGAGTGGGCCCCTTGAGGAGAAGGCTTGCAGGTGGCCGCTAGGTTGACGAGAGCTACTGAGCTTCCGAAGCTACTGTTTACGGAGAATGACGAACGCTCCTATGTTTTTTTGCTTGTCAGCTACTAGTTTGTTTAAATAAGATACATAAAAACAGAATACCGTAAATAGAAAATGAGTTTGTATTCTATTATGTATTTATAAATGTTGTATAAGTAAAATACATGGACGCATCTTTTGGGTTCTTTTCTTTGTATCTTGGACGCACTCTCAACTCAGGCTTCAAGGAAGCAGGCGTCTGCCTCGGCCTTTTTTTGGAAAACTGTGGACGGAAGGAAAAGGACACAAAAATAAGAAAACACTTGCAACTAGTGAACCTTAAAACTACTTGCAACCCTCAACTTGGAATTCTTCATGTCTCTTGCCTTATTCCTTCCTTTTCTCCTTAGACATTTGAATGGTCTGTTTTCACCAAAGACCCAGTCCCAATTGATCTTATCCACGTCGTAGAGCTCGACGGGACACTTGTCAAGCAACACATTGTAATTCCCCACCTGCGCAGCTTCTCACCCGCTACGGTGCAAAAAGCAGTCAGCGGTGGGTATCACCGTCAACTAGCTTGGAGGCCATTGCCCACAGTATGAGGTGGAGGTCGGCCAAAAAAACAGATACCGACCGGTGGTATCAACTCTTTATCTCCTTTCGGTCGCGGTGTTTGGAAGCACAGCTGGAGACTCTCGCTGTCTTGCCTTGTTGGCCTGGTCGTTGTCAAATTTGGTCCCTCCATTTGCACTGATGTGGAACCTCCAAGTAAAGCGGAGGCTGCCGTGCCAGGCTGCAAAGAGAAAACAAAACCGCTACTAGGAGCAAAGGACGCTACTAGGGTCTGCTGGCCTTACTACTAGCACCAACGGCCATCACTACACTTTTGCCGGTTACACTCTGAGGTCCTTGCCGCTTGGGGTCGACACTTCGATGACTGTTGGGATCCAGTTTGTGAGACCGTTCCATTTCCCAGGTTTTCACCTTAGCAATTGACCGTTCCTCCAGGCTACATGTATATCAATGTGTCAAATGCTTGGTTCGTTTGGTCATGGCAGCTTTGCTTGTCGAGAACAGTTTTAGCATGTTTTAGTCCACAGTCATACACCTTTTCATGCCCGGCCTGAAACAGCCGGCGACGGAGCAAAATGGAGCAAATGAGTGGCGGTCTTTTTCTCGTTCGTTCGGTCTCTTCGTTCGGCTTCAATCGTTTGCTTGGCTTCGTCACTTCACTTGCTCGGATCGGTAGGAAGAAACAAAGAGCAAAAAGAAACGAAAACAAAGGGAAAGAAACATGAAAAAGAAACAAAAAAAAGAACAACTAAATAGAGCTCAAAGAAGAAAATTCGGCTCAGGCACCAGGTTCTCCACAATCATCTCCAATGACCCGGGAGGATGATTCTTTGTCTTGCCCTGCATTCCGACATTGAAACATATGTAAACTGTCCAAACAACACTGGAGCAGCGAATGAAGCATTGAGCTTTCTCAAGCTTCTCCTTTCTTCTTCTTTCTGCAATGCGCACCTTGAGGTAGTAGAGATTGGCAATTGTGTAGTCGGGCGGTCCTCCAAACCTGTTGCTGAGAACAGCAATGGCCTCCAACTGGTTGTTTGAAAGCAAACAGGGCCTCCATTGGACACCCTTCTCATCCATGAAGGCTCTCTCTGGTTCAACCAGACCAAATTCCTCCCAGACTGGATTAGGGCCAGGAATTCTCAAACAAAGTGGCAAGCAACACAAGCAGAAAAAGGCTTTAAAAAAGCAGAGCTGCAGGTTTTGTGGGCGCCTTTTTGATGCTGGCAAGCTCCTCTTTCAAGCCATCCAGCTCCTCTCCCAGCAATGGCGCCAAATGGCTCAAGAGTCAAGAATGTGTATCGCTACTAGTAGCTTCTTAAGGGAGTCAATGCAAATGGCTTGCCGACCTCCTTGCTTAAAGGCTTCCCATGCCCATGAGGTACCAATGGTCCACGCATATATGTCCTCAGATCGAATCTACACAGAACGTGTGTCGAGCGTCGTTTCCTCTCTCCATTTGGCTGAATTAGCTCGTTGGATACTGAAACTGTGCAACGACGCTGCTTCCCTCCCTCTCCAAGTCAATCTCATATATCGTCACTTGTGACAACAGTTACCACAAACTTGCAAGTTGACAAGTTTGTCAAGCGTCTGCGCAAGACTTGGTGGATCAGAAGCCATTGACATTGCAATAACTCCAGATGGCACGCTGTGGCTGACTGTCTGATGGCTGCAGAGCCCACCCAAACAAGCGAGAGACAAGTCTGACTTGTGTTCCACATGCAGTTTAAGAGGACTTTTCCTTGGGAAAAAATAGAACAAATGATTGAAGGACATTCCCTCAAGCCGTGTAGGTCGTGTTGTCAGTGTGTCCGATCTGGACAGACCCGGGCCCCCGTGCTTCCCCGACCCACAGGCCCCGGTAGCAGTGGCATCTCCATCGGCCGTGCGGCATCCACCTTGCTTTACTCTACAGCTCCACAGCTTAGCGGCTTTCACCGTTTTTTGGTCAAAGATGAAGTGTTGACCTTTCGTCCTTTACAGGTAAAAAGTTCCTAGTAGCGAACATTGTTACTAGTAAGGCACTTGTTACTAGAAGCGATGCACTTGTTCCTAGTAGCGAACATTGTTACTAGTAAGGCACTTGTTGCTCGAAGCGATGCACTTGTTCCTAGTAGCGAACATTGTTACTAGTAAGGCACTTGTTACT